AGGGAGATGAAAGGATTCGAATTCTCGAGAAAGATTGCGAAGGTTCAAGTTTATTATCGTTATTAGACTTGTTTGTTTGTTTTTAGACAGGAGTATGATCAGCAATTTACGACGAGCGATTTCTACGGAGAGCATAGGAAGTGCGTCTTCCACATCGATGCTGATGAATTACGGTGATGACGATCCTTCTGTGCAGATCACTGTGAGCTACGATAGGTGTGTTCGTTTATTCGTTTCGAGATCAGCCACATTCAGTGAATCTTCGGGAGGAAACCTTCAAAATCATTAGTTAATGATGATAATCGTTGGATGTGCTTTTAAGGAACGATCAGATGTTCAAAACGCAACTGAGTAGATTGTTCGATCCACCACAATGCGCATCACTCTATTTGATATTTTATCTGCTACCCCATCCGAAACCTCTGTGGCGAACTGAGGTCAGTTCAAATGCGATCTGAACATTTCGTTTGTAGCTAATCGAACGGATTGGATATCATATCTTAAATTGCTACTTGTTTGATTTACGGACAACGTTTGTGTTTCTGACGTAAAGTTAAGATCAACAATGAAGCGAAGACACGATCAATTTGATTCGTGCTCTTCATATGTAAAATCCAAGAAGTATCTTGATGTATTCTTGGGACTCCTTCACCATGTGACAGAAAACCTTCACTGGTATTTGCAAAACAGAAAGATTTGTGCAGATGTTTGAGAATACAAATGAAAATGTTGAATTAATTCCAGTCAAATTCAAATAATCAGTTTTGGTGTTTATTTCAGGCGCGATCGATATCAACTAATCCCGTTGTTTTCGAACAATACTTTCATCAATGTATCCGTCACAAGGACGTTAATAGGGTGAGTAATAAGTAGGTTAGAGCATGCCATCGTTAGACTGTTTGAAGCGTATAAACAGCTATTCCTCACTAATGCGCATCGTTTCTCTCAAGAGACATCCATCCTGAGCAGTGACGAGATTCAAAAACTTCAGCATACGAATTATGACATTCTGCAAGAGAAACTTCATTGCGCATCACAACGATATATTAAAACGACTGCAGAAAGCATCATGAAATACACTAGTTAAGTGCACCTTAATTAAGTACACATATCCAGTGGAAATATGCGCATAGTAGTTTTTTGCATTGAACTTTATGTACTCGTTCAGCACTTAAGCGGAATCTCGGGTTTAGTATTAAATCGGGATGGGATGCGCATTGCAATTTTGCCGTTGATTCCGGCGATGGGAGAGAGGAAATTTCCAATTCACTAGTATCGTCCAATGTTGCGTGTTCATCAAATACTACTCATGATCACCGGTAAATGAGAGTGATCACGCATTTCATCTCAGTCAATATCATAGGACCGTTCTGAATGTGACAACTTTAAAGGCTCCGGATCATCAATTTCTCCTTATTGCTCATTTTAATGGCTTCATCAAATTAGTTTTCAGCACGCTTGATGAGCGAATAGGTTTCAGGTAGCCTTACTGATCCAATTATATGTCGAGAAAGAATGCATAAATTTGGAAGGACAATGTAGAATACGCTTGCGTGATGTTATTTTACACCCTCCATCAACGCTCTATCTGACGCTTAAACGAGATAAACAAGTTAGTTAGCTTGATTCTCATCACAACTAATTATTCATCGCAATGATAGCTGATGTCGGGGAGCGCATGAATTTTTTGCAATAATGTAATATAGCAACGAATGTCTACGTATTGACACTCATGCAGTCGAATGCGATATCAAATGCCACATTGACTTTGATGAGAATATGATTTATACGATGCTTTAATGCAAGCATGTGCTTATGCCTTGAATACTGTATTGTAATATTCTAATATTCTATGAATATTTTACGCCAATATAATAATGCCAATATTATGCTCGTAATTATCCATCATTTCTAAACTAAATTAATGAATTTGAATATAATCCTCTGAGATCAATCCATCACACGGCCAATTTTACGCCATCTAACATTTATTGGAATTCTGTTAATAATACACCAACGATGTCCTACCTATTGTTCTGCTCTAATGCTGTTTTGATCCATGGCTAGTGGTAAATTGAAACTAGCTTGATTGGTTTGGGAGAAATTATTCCGTTTCATTACTTCAGTTCCACAAGGGAGCAAAATTTTTCGCGAGAATTTTTTTATATTCCTTCCGTTTTGTATTTTTTGGATTTTCCATTGCAATCGTTGGCCTGGAATGGCTTAATTGAGTTGATTCGGTCTCATTTCACTGGAGATGAAGCGAACATATGCTGCATTAACGTCATCACTAATTTTTTTTCCACTTCTATGGCATACAATATAAACTCGAATTGCTTCATCAATTGCTGTTCTTTTTTTTCAATTCTATTTCCGTGTTCATCTTCCAAATTGACCAATGACTTCATTTCAGTTCATGAGTCCTTTAGAGCTTTCATTTTTCTTTGAACTGGATTGACCTATTTTCATTGTCGTACACTTTTTCGCATTTGTTTCTGTGAATTTCTAATTGAAATGAGTTTATTCCATTCGTTTACCATTTTTATTTCTCATTCCATTCCAATAAGCGAAATGCAATGAGCACATTGAATGAACCTCATTAGCGAAACTGACAGTCCTTTGCTGAACTATCGAAACTCAAAAAATCATGCTGTCCAAAGATTGCAAATTCGAAACAAGCTGTATCCTGTATCAATCGGCAGAGGAAATGATGTGAGATGCAAACAAATTTTCACTGCGATTTTATTGTCTGCCGGCAATTCCTAAAAATATGTTCTTCTTATCGTTCAGTTCATATGATAAATGTGCTGCAATTTTTACATCTATTTGAGAATGACATGCAACAATAGCCTCTTCTCATCAATCATGGCAGTCTCCGGAATAGTGTCATTCCACCAATCGGCATGAATCGGTTACCTGTCATGATATCAGTGTTGTCCTCCTCTGATATACACTCATCGATGAAATCAAGATCAATTATTGTATTCACGATAATCAATCTCATGAATTTCGACTTGTATCTATCGCAACGTTTCGCAACTTGGGTGATATCACTCGCAAATGGGCAAAAAAAGGCCGAGAACGGGACGATTTAACTACAAGATTTTCTCTTATTCTACTTGTTCTCTCATCTATTTCCGATTGTGTGAGCGAGCTCTTATATTCTCACGATGAAAAGAGCTGCTGAATGTAAATGCAGTTGCAGTATTAGCCTATTCATTCTTATGATTATAATGATATTGGCTTCATAGAACGCCCGTACTGTATTTGAATAAAAATCAAGTAACAATTAAGGATGTTGACGACGAGGAATGTTCGCTGGGTGAAATACAATTCTCGTTGTTCTATCAGAACGATCGGCTTTCCATTGTTATCATGAAGCTAAGAGCACTGCAACAATGGATAAACGGTATACTTATATGATTTTCAGTGCATTAGGCACATACTCTTTTTAGTAGCAGTTGATTTTCTACATTCAGTTTTAATTCCACCGACATCAGCTTTCTCAAACGTAATGCTGCATCATAACACAGTTAATTGAGTATTTCCGTCGGGAATGAAGCGGATCATTGGCTTTTTAAAGTGCAGTTTTATTATGCACGCTCAATTTGACCTGCATTCACTATGAGCCAATCAACTCGAAAAACAATAAACTGAAACTGATTATGTGGTGTGTCAGTCATTTCATCGAGCAATCATTAGGCATTCTCAAATGAAGATTCATGACGTTCAGCTGCACCGTGCATGATTTTCGTTCGAACATTCTTGTTGAAACCGCACGGATGAAATCATCACAATGGACACCGAATAATTTGGATAACAAAATGCTCACGATCAGTTTAAGCATTAGAGCACTAGAGATTTTTATTGAAGTTGTAAATTTTATTGGCTCAATAAATAGTACGCACTAAACATGCACAAAAACAAATTCATGTCCGTCTAACCTCAGAATTGCATGCTCCGAACAAGTGCAAATTTTACTTATGAAAAGCATAAAAATTTATTTATTGATAGTGCTCGGCTTCATGTGCTTTGAGTATACGTTTCGAGAGTTATTTGGCAAAAGTGGTGGAGGCAGAGTGCAATTTCCGAGCCAAAACAATAGATTTGATTTGATTTGCAGAAGCAATGGTGCGCGTTTATGTGGTTCAATCAAACGGTGGTCGAGTCATCAAGAAACGAACGTCCGCTCAACCTGTTGAACATCAGTGCACCGTTTTCAATGAATCTGTTTTTGTTAATGTTTCCAAATCAAAAATTGAGGTGATTCGACAATTTATCGCTTTGAAGAGGGGGCTGGCTCATAGGAAAAAATATGTGAGACGTATTCAGTTAAGAGTTTGAGTTCGATGGAAAGTTCGAATGCTCGTTTGAAAACAGAGCGGATTTCATGTTGAATGCGGATTGTTCTGAGATTAAAGCGAACCATAATCAGGACGTCAAAAACACAGTAACCTTCTCTTGACGGGAACCGTTCGACTGTTGAAGCTTGCTGATTCGATTGTTGAATCATGCAATTTCCAGCAGACTACCTCTAACCGTATTCGTGCATAACTCAAAAACTCCACTAATCCAGCATATATGTCACATTTGAGCTCACTCAAACTTATCTGAAACTCCTCTCTATATCTAGAATTCAAGACACACGGCTGATCACCGATATTAGTCTTGCTGATTCAGAAAGAGAAAAGGTTTACGGCCAAATGCGTGCATTTAGAATTTGATAAGCATCGCAAATCTTTCAGCGTACAAGTATTCGTTTGAGTGTGATCGAAACAAGCCAAATCGATCCACGAAGTATCGGTCACATAACGATCGGTCCGAAGAGGAGTGGCAAAGAATTCGGCCATTATCAGCGAATGATGACCTCGCAAGACCGTCCTGTCTCGATGTGGCACTGTATCAAACCCAAAAATAAACCCATTTAATTGTTTATATATTTGTGATGTATGTGAGAGTTTCATATCAAGTTTATTGCGCTTGAACGTGCTCGATACTGGATCGTGTGCTTATCAGTGAATAAACTGAACAGTTCACTGGATGCGAGGACCGGATTAACTTTTTAGTAGTAGTGTTATGATCTGTGCAGATACTCGGGAAACTCGACGATCTCATGAAATGTTTCAAAATGTGATTGTTTCATAACGAACAGAAATAGGTTCACTGAAACACTCATTGTCAGCACAACAGTACAGAAATATTTCGGCAGAGATCACTGTGAGCAGTGAAGATATTTTATAGTGGCACCATAAGATGATGCCGATCACTGATAACACTGATAATGATAATGAAGAGCATTTCACTGTTAACAATTTACATATTTACTTCATTTCGTCAAGATATATGATCCTTTCCAGAATGCATCATTCAAATTTCACAAAAAAAAATTGAGCAAACACCACGAAAAATTATGTGATCGCTGAGGATGAATGTGAGACGTATCGCAGTTGAATGACCAACTGAAGTGAAGAGCCGTATCAGCGGAATATTTCATAATCAGAAGCATAACAAAACAATTTATGAGGGCTTCAGCTGAATTTCCTTACAAAGCCCATCGTGAAAGTTGCAGCACCTCCCATACCGCTGCATATTGAACATTAAATTTTAGCGATAAGTTCACGACGCTCCTGAAGACTCTCACTGCGCTTTAAACGAGCCACCGATATACGGCTATCCTGCGTAACGGTCGGCTCCGTAGTACCTAAACGTTTCCTTCGATTCGCCCGCTCGATGTACTTCCAACTTCGATAACAAATTTCGATCGCAACCAGATTCGACACGGATTCGACGATTGAGTACAACGAAATATGAAAGTATCTTGACCTCAGGTCTGGCCGAGCCAAAATCACACTGGCAACTGCAATCAAATCAAATCACATCAGAAAGCCAGCAGCGAATTATTTTTAAGTCAGTGTTTGTTGATCGCTGCTGTGGAGCATTCACACCGCTTACGAGGTAACCAACACAGTTTGTGATGAATTCCATGACTTATCGTTGACATCTTGTCTTCATCATTCATACTTCAGCTGATTCACTCTTTCTTAGAAGTCACACTGCGAGAATAAGAAATAAACACACCTATATTGTCAATTATGAGTGCAAGATGAAATTATCTTCGTCACAAGTGAATGGACTGATTTAAACGAGTCGCTGTTGGTGTCTAACCATTCAATTTTTTACGATAACCACCTCATTTTAGACGCACCGATTAAAATGTGGTAAAGGTCAACAATGCTAATGCAAAAACTTTCAATGAACTCACCAAAAACGAGCACAGTTGTACGTATCAGCTTGAATATAACATAAGGCAATAAGTACTTGACACGATGTGCACACAGCACCATCTTATGAATTAGATAGAGACCAACGGCTATGCAAATGCCAGTGATCAAGAAAAACAATGTCACTGATATGCTTAGCCACTGCGTTGCTGAAACATTTTATGGTGTATTGCATGACACGTGAACACTCGAATTTTTCCATGGCATATTGCAAAAAGCTATCCGAAGCATCCAAAGAAATGTAGCTGCTGCAAGTTTGCGTACAAACGTTGCACACTTTCGCTTTACTGGCATTACTTTGAACCGTTGGGGGGTTTGGTAATTGGATGTTGCCACTTATACTGGGTGCTCCTGATATAAGATTTCCTCGTCTTAATAATTTAAGTTTTTGGTTATTGTCCACTGCTATATTTTTAATCTTGGATTCTTGTTTCGTTGATATGGGTAGCGGTACTAGCTGAACTATTTATCCTCCTTTAAGTACTATGGGGCACCATACTTACGCATAAAAATCGAAAATTCCCATTTCAAATAAATAATTAACACATTTGACCAATCGGACAGTGAATGTCTTAAGGAGAAAGAAAGAAGAGTGCAAAGATGAAAAACTTCGACAGCGCCGACGTACCGTAATCCATATTATTGAGAAACGAATGAAGCAGCACATTCAGGCTGATGATCAACGGTGTGAATATCCAAGCCACTTCTTGTAGGTATACGATAACGAACACCGTATGTAGTGCTTCCAAAAGTGACTGAACGTTGTCCATGTTTCCTGGCCAGAATTTCTCGCGTTGAGTTTCAGATCAGATCAGTCTCATCACTATCGATTAAAACACGAATCGTTAACGATTGCTTACTTCGAAGATCCAGATCAACATTTTCAGTTCCTAAAATCCTTGAAATGACTGATTCAAAAGATATTCCAACCTTGAAAGACTGACTGACAAATGATTCCGGTTTTAAGCGGACATTCACAAGGAGCAATTTGCTCCAAAATGTAGTCATCACTATGCCTGTCCTTCAATTTACAGTATGACTGAATTCAAGTGGAAACTGTAAATTTTTTCGATTCTTTTCGGGGAAATGTGAGAGGAGCATTGAGAATTTTGCACTGCGGCAAATAAATTGCCCTCTTCCAGCCAGCAAAAAAAGAAATGCGCCAAAAAATAGCTGTGCTCATAGCTGCCTTATGATGTCAACAGAAATTGTTTACTACTCGGAAACAGTGCTGAGAGCTTTGAGAAAAATGGCTAGTTAGGCTTGTAATGATAATGACAACGCCGATAGTGACGGTGATATTAATGATGATAACTCAGGTGTGTCAGGTATAACTCAGGTATGGCGATATCTCAGTGATGATATCGGCGATACAACTGTTTAGTGCAGTGGGTCATAGCACGCTTGATCGAACTGATAGTTTCAAAACTACACAATGAGCATTGATTTATCATAGCAACAAATCAATCATCAATCACGTTTTCTTACGTCTCAATTTTCATTCTCATAGTCAGCTATGAACATGAAGTCTAGCATTGAAAAGTCGACACGTAATCTGAAGAGCAACTTGTCTGAATAATGAGGCAAACGAGACTAAGTGCAACGAGAAAAGGAATGATATGAACGTGTTTTACGTCATTATTTTTGTGCTTCATATCCGCACTTGACCCACTTCCTATCATTCAAAAGTTATCAGAGTGATTAATTTGAACATATTTCATTCAATCGAACGACAACAAAAATCAACCACACATAATGGCTCAAAAAAAATCGGAATTTTATAGTTATTAATTCGAAGAAAAGTCCAATACGCTACTGGATCTATCAACATAGAATCCAAAAACATTTGTTCCTGACATATTTAAAGCTACCTGATCGAATCTGAAATACATTCCACCGATAATGCTAAAATGCAACCCGTTTCTTCCAGTATCGCCATTGACGGAAAACAAAAACAAAGGCAAATTCAGTGAAATTAAAGAAATCTCCAATGCAGAAAATAACGTAATTCATTGTGAGCATTTCTTTGGATGAGGCTATCTGTTGAGACGATGTGGGGAGTAATTCACAGAAAAATGCAATTGACTGAGAAAACAGATTACAAAACGCAAAACGTATCTAGATCTGGATAGCTCGGAAAAATCAGCTGCATCATTCTTCGTTTCATGGAGTGGCTTTGCGTATAATTAAAACTAGCAAATTTTGGAAATCATTCACGTTGAATATTCTATTCGTGCTGAACTCTTAAAGCGAGTGTGCAACGAAAGCGATGAAGTTGGCCTTGTCACTGCTGGGAAAAGCCACCTCGGAAGAGATGGATACCAATGAGGAATGATAATGACATTACTCTGACTCCAGTTCTGAAACAAATACACCGCAAAAAACAAGCGATATTTCAAGCGAATGAATTACCGGTTAGTGACAGATGAATCGATACGGGAATATTTAAGTTGAACTGCGAAATCGTTTCAATGCGATTCAATTCACTACGTGAGAATGCACTCAAATAATGACCATTCAGCAGTATCGCTATATTGTCTGTGAGTTTGATTTAATCATTCATTATACATCAATTTCCCATAGTCAGTGAACGTTCGAAATCTTTATGAGGAATACATTTTTCTTCAAAAATTAAGTAAAATGTTCTCTTATAATTTCTAAACGCATCGAAAATGACTCAAGAGGGCCGCAAATCACTGCCTACCTCGATAGTATCAGAAAAAGAATCCTGCTGAAAGAATTTCATAGTTTCGGAACTCAATGGGATCTCTAATAAGCCTTGTGTACCACCACTGCTGTATGATTTGTTTGGCTATTTGAATGTTTTCTGTCGATTCTTTATCATTATGCATTCATAAGTTTCAGATTAAGTGGTGATATTCATTTGTCATGCTCAATCGAAGCATATTTTGTCATTTCATGGGCATCGATTATGTGTCACATAATCAATCATGCGAAACGGTTGAATTATTGAGGTGATTTAATGACAACGTATTCATGAACACTGAATTGTTTGCAGGTTCATTTGAGTGCGAATGAAACTCTAAGACGTAAGATATCGATTGTGAAACACTCAGTTGTACATTCCGCTAAAAGATGGACAGTAAAAAAATTATCGAAAAATGATGTCAAAAAATGAGTTCTCTCATTTGCTTGAGTCAAACAATTTTCCACTGAATTACATACCATTTCAGTGAATTAGAAAATTATCTAAGCTAAAAAGAGCAACGGAATAAAACACTCATTTTGAAACATTGCACATTTGATGTGAAACGGTCGTTGATTTTGAAATCATCCGCATACTTAATAGATTTGATAATTACCATCATTAGCATTTCACTGATTATTGTCATTAATATTGCCACTAGTAATAGCACCAGCTTAATAATGAGAATAACAAAGCGCACCTGCTCAATGGATTAGTGATATGGACTGAACTCGATTTCTCCAGCTCCGTGTCTGCCAGTACCCAATAATTTTTGCCCACCAATCAGAGACTGATGTGTGGCGAATGATGCGTATCAAAACTTTCGGA